TGCGCGGCTCCCTTCCTCCCTCCCTTCCTCCCTTCTTCCCTCCTCCCTTCCCCGCCCGCCATGCACCCGCGGCGTCCCGAGGGCTTCGACGGCCTGGGCTACCGCGGGGGCGGCCGGGAGGAGCCGGGCCCCGGCGCCAGGCCCTTCAGCAGCGCCTCGGAGCTGGGCCACTGGGTGACCAGCCCGCCCGACATCCCCGGCAGCCGCAACCTGCACTGGGGGGAGAAGACGCCGCCGTACGGGGCGGGAACCCCCCAGGGGGGCGCCGGCCTCAACGAGGAGCCCAACCTCGGAGCAGGCGGCCCCGGCGCCGGTAAGGGAGCGCCTGGCCCGGTGGGGCAGCCAGCTTCTCGCCGTTCCGCCTGTCCCTCGCTTGTCTCCGGCCCTCGCTCTCCCAGGGCGGTGCTCCAGCTGCCCAGTACTGCGTGACCCACCCAGGCGGGAAAGGGTGAGCAGCCCGCGGCCATGGGCTGTACCGCGGCTTGATCGCGCCCGTTCGAGCGCCGCCCGGTTTTGCTGGTGCTCACTTCCACAGCGCCGGGCCCAGAGACGCGTTTGCATCCGCGGACTGGCGATGCTGAAGCGCCAGGAAAATAGTCCTTTAGAAGAAAGCATCCTCGTCGCCAGTTGCACTCTAGCACCCGCTTTGCTGTGAGACACCATGTAGTTGCACTCAAATGCGATCGAGAATGCCGGAATGCACCCTGCACCTTCTAGTTAAGCAGCGTGTGGTCATCTCCCCATTGCTCATGTAAATAGTATCCTGCAGAAATACTCCCGTCTTCCGTAAGGGCAGGAAATACCTCTGGGTCTTACAGTATATTTTGGTATTTAGTCAGTGTTGGTATTTCAGACTTTGTGTCTTCTGGCTGTTGTATTATGCTGAAAAAGTACAAGGAGTATGGCATGAGCTGCTGAAGTAAACACACCCCTCCCCCACCCCCGCATGATAGGGAAGGAGCCATGGAACTGGTAGAATTTGAGGAAGCAAGTCTTTTCCAGTAATTGTTGGAAAACAGCAGAAGTATGGTATCATTTTACGTCCTTGTGAATTTGAGGTGAAGTAAGAAAAACCTAAATCTAGCCTACTGAACATTGTCTCTAGTTAAAAGGATGTTCTGGATATACACTTCAGTATCAAAGTTTTATGACATACTAATTTATTTAAAATTGAATTGTAGTAATAGGTGAGTCTTTTTAAACCGTGGTGAAATACTTTTGTTCAGGTCTTATCGTGAATACAACCTGTAGCTGGACTTCCATCCATGCAAGCACTACTTAAAGCACTAAAATATTCTTAGGTACTTGTACTCAGCCTTTCTTTTTTTGTCCTATTGCTCATGATGGGTATATAGATTCTGCATTTTGGAGGACAGATAAGGGGTTGCTGAATCACTGAGTCCAGCTTCTGCAAATGGAGAGAGTTTTATCATTCCCCTTAATGAGGGCTGCCACGTCTTTGTGAAGCTCCACTTAAGTTATTGGCATTACCCATACCTACAGCCTGTTTGCACCCTGTAGATTGTATCACTGAGCATTAACTTTCAGTTGCCTTTACAGTTCTGATATTCTTCTTAAAATCTCTTCTGATAATTTCCAGGAAATGTTTGTCTGGTAGCAGACGAGAGAGTTGAACCAATTACTCTTGTTGCAATTTTTAACAGTTCTCTAGTAACGATTTTTGCAAAGGGGTGGAGGTAGACAACTGACTTGAAAATTTACATCATGATGTTTGTTATGTCATCAATGCGTTTCTCTTCTTACTATTTTCAGGTTGAACATTAATTTCACCTCATATCTAAATTTGTTTCAGAATTTTTGTAAACTGTCATACATGCTAACTTTTTCAGTGGTTAATTTTGGTTAGATTTTTTTAGATAAAATATTATCTGTTTTACTTTTCACTTTGTTACTTCTTTTTTCCTGTCTAGATGTCTCAAGACAAGAATAATTTTATTTATAGAAGTATGTACAAACTCAAATGCAGTCCAAAGTGCAATGTTCCTGGGGGAATAATTTTTTATATCCTCTCTTGCTGAGTTGCCATAAATGTTGTGGTTCAGTGCTTGTAATTTTTTGAAACAAGTACAGTATAAAATTAGTTTTTCAGATCTCCTGCATAGCATTCTCTCCTGCTTTGTGATTGCCCCTGCAGTATAATCTGTTTTCATTTTTTTCAGAGCAGTTGAACAGGTTTGCAGGCTTTGGTATTGGCCTTGCAAGGTAAGAGTTGTGTAGTGATTTTTCAATGATAATGAAGTAGTAAAGTTATAGTTGCTTTATAATCGCTATGTACACTTTTGTGGTTTTATGCCAGTAGACTTAAGCAGTTGAAATGCCCTTAGAAACCTACTACCTGAAATCCATGTAGGTTTCTGTTCTCTTTAACTGAAGTGTTTCCCAAATTATTTAATCAGCAGTGAATATAAGAAACAGTTTTTCATATGGTATGCCATATGCATATGTGTACCCTATCAGAGCAATCTGTAAATAGCACCAGAAAGCTGTTTCCATGTTTGCCACTTTTATTAATATTTTTGGGTGATGCGACTGTTTCCTAAGAAGGTGAAAATGTCTTCAAGTATATTATTAAAGTATCCCGGAATAGTAATGCTGATCTAGCCAAGTGGCCTAATGACCATTTTATTCTTTATTATGGTGACACTGATTATTGATAGTATTTTTAGGAAAGTGGTGTACTTTAGCATGCTTAACATTTTCAGAGTCAATTGTAAGGGTCATGATAAATTTAGGGTTTTTTCTAGCATGCCTACTCAGTCATACTCACCTGATTAGGTTTCTCATAGTCAGTGTATTGATGCAAATTCTGAAAAGGTGCAGGTGGGGTTTTTTGTCTTGAAAAAGTTAGGAATGTAAAAAGTTTTACTCTTTATTAACCTGAATGTGAGACTTCTCAAAGTGGTTCTCTCTTCAGAACATGAGACTACTTGTCACTTAATCAGTTAGACCAACGTGGGAAGCTCTGTCAGTTGAGGTTCTTATAATGTACTTAGAGGAGGACCTTTTACTTGACTACCAGACTGTCCTGCTCCTTAGCCCATTGTTATCAGCCTTGATGCCCACCAGAACCTCTTTTAACCAGTTTGACTCACTAAAACATAAGTCAAAGTCAGTGAAGGAGCTGGATTATTTTTTGCTGTTTCAGTTAGGTTGATTTGTCTGGGAACTGACTAGCTGTGAAGGCCAGCGGACACCAGCTAACTGGCCCAGAGAGGAGGACTAGAAGGATCATTCTTGGCAAGCAATGAGTTGCTTAAATTAGATTATCCTGTCTCATGAAACTGCCTGTCCCTGTTCTCCCAGTGCTTCTCTTGCAGTGGCTCAGTTTGCTCATTCAGACCCCTTGCTGAGCCTGTTGTTTACTCAGAGTTAATGGGGGAGAGGGGGAATAACTAGCCCACCCCAAACGTGTAGAGTTGTTTGATTAATTGCCAAAATTATCAAGCTGAATGAGCTCAGGAGAGTACTAGCAAAGGAGTGAAGCCATAGGGTGGGAACATGTTGATCATCTTCAGAAGCAGAGAGATGTTAGCATGGCTCAGTTGTCCCTTTGAACTATATGTTTTGATTTAATCAAGCATGACAGAGTTCTCCACATCATGAGCACCATGACCACTGGGACTAAAGTGAGCATGTGGTTTTGGGAAAGAGCTGATCAGCATTGTCTTGGTGCCTAGAGAAATTCTCCCTGCTTTTTCTTCTGAATTTGTACCAGATCACTTGTCAGACATACATGGTTCAAGTCAGAAATCTTGCAGAAAACACGTGACACAATAAGTTTAGGTTTTGTGAGGCTAGTTGAGTTGGCTACTAGCAGGTATTAATGGATAGCAGCTAGAGTCCGGGGAAAGTTTCACCTCTTTTGGTAGCAGCAAACTACTAATTACCTCAGTAGTTATGAAGCTGCAGACTCAGAACTTTTCTGTGACAATTAGTACTTGTTTACCCAGTAAGTCCCCATAAGAGATCTACCCCAGATGATCTGGTAGGTTGGTGGTCAGAGCTGTAGCTTGGGATGCTTAGACAAAGCCTTGAGGTTTCACTTTTCTAATCCATATCCCAGGTTTGAGCCACATACAGTAAGTAGTCTGATCTCTCAGGCACTTTGAGATTAAATGGGAAATTTCTCTGCGTGACTGTGACCAGGAATCCTACTTTAGAACTGAGAGAACCATCCTATGAAGGCTTGATTGCAATACCGTTTCAGGCGGTGGAGGGAGAGCTGGTTTTGGGCAGTAGCATTTTCTGATGAAAAAAATGTCAGCTGTTGGTAACAATCCTCTGGGCCTGCTAAGGAGAGTCTTGATTAATAATGGGGTACACAGAATTGACATAAAACTGGAAACTAATGCTTTCATAGTTATGGCTCTGTGCTGTTTTGTTTCCTTATATTTTGGGCAGGGAAGGTTTAAGAAATTTGGTACATTGTTTTGCCTATAAAAATACATACATTATATATATATATATATATATGGGTTTTTTCATAGTGAGTATATGTGTCATTTTTTTTTTATACTTGTTCCTTTAAAGTATTAGCAGGCTATCACGTAGCCATCCAAAATGCCTCATTAATTCACTAGATAATTAGGTTTTTTCCAAATACTGATCTAATATTAAGACAATAATAACAAGCCTTTTCTGATAAATTTGCAATTATTTCCCATGCTTTAAATACACTTTTCTTTTAAAGCCTATTTACAGAAAATGTGTTGGCACATCCTTGCATTGTTCTACGTCGTCAGTGTCAGGTATGTTATCCCTTAGAGTCAGACCTGTTGTAGTGTACAGACAGATCTGTGTAGTGTCATAGTTCTGTGTTTTCATACTCTGTAGACTATAAGGAAGCTATACAACTCAGGGAGACGCTGCCACATTAAGATGGTTTTGTTTGTAGCATACATGTTTTCCATTCTGAAATTTAACTTATCTTGAACATTATTACTAATTTTTGTTTGGACAGTGGAAAATTAATTACAGCAAATAAATGTTTGAGTCTGCAGAACAGCTTCCAGATGCCCACGTACAAGCAGAATGCTTTGTTTCCAATATTTTCTGGTTTATGCTTGCTTTATTGTTTACATTTTCAGCATACAAATACTTAAGTTCTGCCCGTTTCCATAAATTTAAGGAAGAATTTATTCATATTTTGGTCACTTTAGCTGATCTTCAGAGGGATAAAGTCCTTATTTGGGAATTGCTTTTTCCTTTAGAGTTAAAACATTTGCAATTATTTATTAAATACTGCCATTTATAAAAACCAACCATTTATGTTTTTAACAGGTTAACTATCATGCTCGGAATTATCATCTCACTCCGTTTACTATTGTCAATATTATGTACAGCATCAATAAGACACAGGTCAGTGTTTGGTGTCATACTGTATCTGAGCAGTGAAGATTGCTATAGCATATATGTACATTGACATCTTTAACTCTATATGTAAGTGATGGTTAAAAACATGGCCATTGTAAGGGTTTGTTACTTTTATGGTTGCCGAAGTGTTTCAAGAAGATCATTGTCAATTAGTTTTTTTAAGTAGTATAGTATTTAGTGGGGAAGATTTGCAGATGTTAGAAAACAAAAGGTCCTTGAAAATAATTTTTCAGAATCCTAATGAAACAAATTAGTCTTTATGTGGATAAAGAGATTATCCAGATGACTGCTTCCAAAGATAGTATTTCATGAATTTCCAGTTCTGCATGGGAGTCCTGAAACTCAGATCAGAGACAGTAAGAAAAAGACACTCTGGATTTCTTATGGATGTTCTTTAACGTCTTGAGCTCATTTTGTTCATAGAAAATTATGTTAAGTTTACAATACAGAGCATTAACAATGGCCTCCAGAATTGTTGACAACAGTTTGAAATTATTGAAGAACAAATGTTTTTTGAGGTGAAAAGTTACTTAGCCCCTAAATTTGAAGTTTAATGGTAGAATTGTAGCCCTGTGCAGTCTGAATTTGCTGAAATTTTATAAAAATTAGTAAGATTATAAGATTTTTGAGTTTTATGTTGCATGGATCAAAATATATTGCATATTTCAAAACACAGGGTCCAAGAGCTCTCTGGAAAGGAATGGGCAGCACTTTCATTGTTCAGGGCATAACCCTGGGAACAGAAGGCATCATCAGTGAATTTACACCTTTGCCAAGGTATTGCATGTTTTTTTTACTGTTTCTAACAAATTGTTTCAGTTGTTGACTTACACTCAAAGTGTTGGGAATTTAAGGAATGAAAAAATTTTACCTTACTAGAATTGTCAGACACTGAATAGGGATTTTCAGCACAGTGTGGTTATCTTGGCAAAGACAACCTGATAAATAGTGAGAGACTTCCTGGGAGCTTTGTGTATTTGTTATGTTTGCCTACTGGTCTAATCATAGAAATAACATAGCAAATTGGTCTTAAGTATAATTCCATGGTAATAAAAGAATTCATAAGTTTCTTTTTTTATTGTGTGGTTCTAGCAAATACCATGTCTAAGATAAAAAGTCCTGGTTTCCTTAATACAGAAAACTTGCATGTCTGGTGAGCTAGCACTGACATCCTGCTGAACATTTTCAGTCTTTGGTAGATAAGAGAATGGCATGCATTAATAAATGAGAAGACATGGTAAATAGGAGTCTATGCGGCTGTCAGCTTTGTCTTCTGTCCTCCTTTGCCAACAATGATATGTACATTGTTCAGTATTTTTATAATAAAGGGCTTACAACTAAAAATGAGTGCCTTCATTTAAAGAAATATTCACCATTCTACTTCACTGTGTCCATCTTAGGCTATAGTAGTTTAATAATATTTTATTTTGATTTGTGACTGCCTACTTTTTATGCTGAACTGTTAACTCCAGGATTATGGTGAAACATTGTGATGTCTTTCTGCTTTGAGATACAAGTTTTCTAAAGAATTTTTGTCTGATTTTATCAGTGTTTTGGTTTATAATTGTCCAGAGCTAACAGTAAGGGCTGATGACTACGATATATATTGTCAGCTTTGTTATAGATATTTTAAGAGTAAGGAAGTTGTGTGAGAGAATTTATTATGTAAAGTAACTAAAACAGTGAAATGCAAGGAGACTGTGAGATAATAAAAAGTTAGGAAGAGATACTTAACAGTTGCAGGGCACACATTAAAGCCAGTAAAATGATAAAGACCTGTCTTGGAAAATACATTAGGGAGACAGGCAAATAGTTGGATTTAAGGCTGGTTAAGGCTGAATGGACCAGTCAGCTTGAGAGCTGTGTAAGCTTTCAGAAGAGACAAGTGCCTATTTTTAATATGTGGACAGAGACCAAGTACTTAAGGGACATGGAAACTGACCTGGTTTTAAAGATAAAAAATGTAGGCAGGCTGAATCAAACTACTATTATGATGCATACATACTAATAAGAGCAAGTCTTTGCAGGTTCTGGCATTCATCAAAAGTATTAGCAAAAGCATTTTTTAGTTAAATGTGGAGTGTGTGTGTTTAAGTTTTTTGGTCAGCTCTGTCTCATATGTATGAAATTTCCAGGTGTACGCTTCCTGTGACTTGTTCATGTTTTCAAACACTGCTGTAGGGGCTGCTTAAGTTCATGAGATGTGATACAGTGTTTATATTTTCATAGTTCTGATTTCTGACCAATGTGAGCAACAATTTTCTTCTTGTGGACCAGTTGTTCAGAAGTTTTAAAAGTGATCTGGTGATGCTGCCATGAGAAGCAAGCCTTTCTGCTAGTACCTGCTCATTCCTCCCTCAGTGCTAGTGCCAACACAGTATATGCACAGTCACAAAATGAGATGTACTGGGGAAGTGATCTGGCTAAAATGGTTCTCTTGTATGTGTACATACATGCTGTTTTCTACTGGATGCTTTTACTTCCTTTTTAATGGTAGCATGCGTGTTTGGGCTATCACAGGGAGGTGAAAGTTACTGCTTATAGCAGACAGTACCAGCAAATCTGGTTTAGAAGGTTATTTAACTACATTATCAAGCTCCAGATGACACGAGGAAGTCAGATGTGAATTCCAACTCTATCATAATACAATAAAAGAATCTCTCTGTTTTAGGAGAGGGGCCCAGAAATGGGTGTTAACACTTCTGTGGTGAGTTAAATGTGATTCTGTTCCAGACAAAATCATTCTGTAATTGTTCTTCTACTTCAGGAATAGTTATACCTAGTGGATTGACAGGAATGAGGCTTTCACACATTTGTTTGGCTGGTTTCATTTTCCACATCTTTTAAGTATTATGGCTCAGTGGATGTAATCCAAGTGTCTGAAATATATAATGATAATTGATCTTCTCTTCCTCTTTAGTGACTGACATATAGGAAGGTGATAGCTACTAGTAGCACACAATTCTTCAGAAAGAGTAAAGAGTTTCCTGTCTTGAGTTAGAGTTATTGTTTTAACTACAGGCATTGTGGGTAATTCCGGGACAAGAATTGAAGCTGAGTACTTTATACCTTGATATTAAAAATGCATAGACTAGTGTTTCCAGCATTTCAGACAGAAATATCTTTACCTCATAGCTATTTACCAAATGTATGGTAAATACATTTGGTATTTATTATCTTAAGCTAGGTGGGATTGCATTTTCTGTCAAGTGAAGTGTAGTTAACATTTATTGCTTGTATTTTGAAGTGTGTAACTAGAAAATACTACTTTAAAGGGATTTTTTTAAAGTCACCTTTGTATTAAACTTGGGGGTTTTCTTCTGTTTTACCAGGATATGCTAAAGATTTGACTTAAGTCTGTACAGAATTACTAAGCAGCTGTTAGTCTAAGCTGTTGTGCTTGATTTGTCTAACACTGTCAGAATGTGATTTAGGTTTTCAGGAAAAAAAAACAACTGGGTAAACATAATCTCAAAGAACAGAAAAAGCATAACCAAACCAAAACATAATGTAAGTTGGTAAATTAAGACTACTGAGATTTTAAAAGAATTCAGTATTTCCTGAGAATGGCCTTATGAGTACATAAGGAGGCAAAATAAATGCAAAGTACTAAAGCCAGAAGCTGTGAGAGCTGCAGAAACCATACTAATAATTGAAAGCTTTTCTGATAGGATATCTAACAGGCCCAAATAACTTTTAAAAGTTAAGCATGATTTATTAAATGTGTTGCTGATGTCTTTCCACTGTGAGAAATCCTGCAACATAAACCGATAGTGGAACACCAATACAAAAGCTGGATGTTGACATCCATCTAAGAAGTGCTTGAGAGTAGGGTGTTCTTAATCCATAGTGTCATGGTTTGAGCCCAGAAGGCAACTGAGCACCATGCCACTCACTCACCCTTCCCACCTACCAGTGCTGGGAAGGAGAAAATTAATCAAAAGGCTCAAGAATGGAGATAAGGACACGGAGAGGTAGCTCACCCATTGTGGTCACAAGCAAGGCAGGTGTGTTAGTGGAAGGAAACAAGAACATCACTTTGAATCAAACATTAACAACAATGGCACTTAGCGGACAGAATGGGACAGTGAAGCATTACCATATCTTAAAAACACCTTCCCCAACCCACCCCTCCCTTCTTGACAGGCTTAATTTTGTTGCCATATCTCTCCGTCCTCCCCAGCAGCACAGGGGTGGGGGATGGGGGGTGCAGTCAACTGCTTCTTCCTCCAAGGTAGGGGGGCAACACTCTTCTGCATTCTTCCTCTGCTCCATGTGGTGTCCCTCTCACTGGAGACAGTCCTCCACAAACTCTCTCTGCTGTGACTCCTCCCCACGGGATGCATGCTTCTCGAGATGCTCCAGTGTGGGTCACCTCCACGTGTTGCATCCTCCCAGCACTGAACTACAACAGTGGGGGCTGCTCCTTCCCACAGAGCCCCGGGGGTCCTCCACAGGCTGCAGGTGAATCTCTGCTCCTCGGGTGACCTCCGTGGGTGGCAGGGGGGCAGCCCTGTCATCTCACCACGGGGTACAGGGGGGCTTTCTGTACTGGTACACCTACCTCCCTTCTTCCTTGCACTGACCTTGGTGTTTGCATAGGTGTCCTTGTAACGCCTCCTGAGAGGTCCCAAACCCCTTTCAAGTTCCCCTTCTTAAATATGTTATCACAGAGGTACTGTCTCTGATTGGCTCAGCGAGGCAGGTCCTACTTGAAGCCAAGGGAGTTTTCCAGAAGCTTCTCATGGGGGCCACTGCTTTAGCCCTCTCCCCCACTACCAAAAATCCTACCACACAAACCCAGCATGCATAGTAAAGTAAATACTTTTCTTTGTAGGGAGATTTCGCATAAATGGAACCTCAAGCAGATAGGTGGACACCTTCTACTCAAAGGGTAGGTAGAGCATGTGATACTACCTTGTGTGTTATTATCTAAACATTAATAAAACTACTAAATGTACATTAGTTTAATCTGCAGCTACGGTTACTTGACAGGGTGCTAATAATAATTTTCAAGGGGATTTTTTTAACAATCTTGATTGCATACAGCAGTTTCACAGATTTTTCTCTTACTAGGCCCCTGTGTCTGTATGGAACCTGTCTAATTTAAAAGATCAGATTCTTTTAATAATGACTGTATCTGAGACACCTGAATCAGTCTGGTCAGAGAAATAAAATTTAACAACTTCAGATTGAAGTTTATATCCACATGTTCATGTGCGTTTTAATAATTGAGTTATAGTTTGTTAATTTTCTCTCAGACATGACTTGGTAGATAATTTTATCAATATTCAGATGCATATTTGGCTAAAATTATAGCATTGTCATGACCTTAATTCTTATCTTGTTAATTTCTACAGTTTAACACATGTGATAGCAATGCCTTTTTATTCTGCGAGCCTCATTGAAACTGTGCAGGTAATTTACATATATTTACAACAGTTTAAAAGATACTGTTATGCTCTTTGTAGATTAGATTATGTGGAGAAGTGAGTCTTTGGCTTTGGATTCAGGTTTATGTTGCAGTAATTGTATTTGTTTTGCTTGAAGCTATATGACTATGTAAATACTTCATCTCAGCTAATATGATGCATATATTAATTGTACTATATTGTCTAAATCTAGAATAAGAAAGGACATTTAATACAGGTAGTTGGAATATATTGTCTGTGAAATAAGGACAAGTTACACCTATATGTTCTAGCAGATAAACCATAAAGAAGTTTTTCTAATGTGACAATTTTAAAAGACTTGCTAGGCAAGTTGTTGCAGTGACCCATCCCCCTGTGACAACTATAAAGCTTTTTCCATTTATTCAGCTTTGTTTTACTAAAATACCGAACTCTACTATTTCAGGACTGCTTTCATTCAGTCAACTTTTTGCATTTAAACTTCTGTCTAGTTCTTCCTTAGACATAAAAATAAGTAAATATCTGGAGTTAGGATACACCTTTACTTGTTCTGTAGCTGTACAGAGTAACCCATAGCACTGTATTGCAGATTGCCTTTCAATGAGTTGTCGCATCTCTTTCTGTAGAAAGAGATAGGGTTTAGCTATGCAGAAGTGCTCCAGGTTAATTCTTCCAGCTCACTCTCTATAATGAGTTGCTCTTAATTAACATGATAGTATCTTTGTGCAGTTAATGGAACTCTTACTGTAAAGTGAGCTCTCATGTGGAGGGTGGTGCAGGATAGACATGCTCATTCGGTCATCAAAAGAATATATTTCATCCACAGCATAGACAAATTGTAAGTACTGTCAAGACTGATTTAGATCCAGCTGTTTAAACCTACAGTTCAACTGCTAGTCTACAAAATCACACTTTTTCTATGTAGAAGAGGCAAACAAGGCTGACTTCTACTGTTTCTTAGTTTCAGCATGTACTTCAAAAGCAGGTGCTCTTAAGGGACAGGATTCTGCTCTGTGCAGAGCATACAAACTTAAAGGAGCCAGAAGATACTAGGAAGGCTGTTTTGTCTGAACTGACCACATTATGGACTAATAGGACAGATGAAATTAAACATCTGTACATGGGGGTGTGTAGATGGACTCCGCAAAACAAACGCACATTCTCTAAAGTTGCTCTGTATTTAAGAAAGCCTCTTCCTCTCGTCGAATTGTTTTGAAAATAATGTACCATAAATCCAGGCTGAGCAGGTCACTGAGTTCGTGGATCAATTGGGAAGATTTAACTGGTCTTAACACTGGAAAGCTGACTTAGGAAACTTTTGTCCTGGGGAACAGGTTTACCCTGACTGTGCCGTAACCTTGGAACTAGAAACAGTAGTAGAACACTGTCTGTGGTTTTTGAATTCATAGCAGGCCACATAATGGAATGTTTTATTCACGTGTGTTGCTGGTTGTATTTTGTCTGAAAGGATATTAACTGTGTTGTTGGACACCAATAAATGATAAAACATGATTTAGATTGTTTGCAAAATAAGTAATAAAGAAATTACTTATTTACTATAAAGCAGTTTAATACCAAAGCAATCAAAAACCCAAACCAGCATCTCCCGCAGTCTTGTAGAGAGGCAACAATCTCGTAAAGCATTGCTTATGAAAACAATCCCACTGAGGTCTGAAGGTTTTAGGCTTAGTAGGTTCAGATGTCTGCAAGTATTTTACTGAATAAGTGTGTATATACTGTATGAAATGTATTTTCCAGTTTCTGGAAACATCATCATGGGCTTTCTTATTAGAAACACACCAGAGGTAATGATAGCATTTGTGCAGATATTATTTATGCTGTATTAATCAGTGCAGGGAGGCAACTTGATTTACCAAGTTTACATTATATTCCTTTGCTGCAGGAGGACAATGACCAGTAACAAACTATAAAAAGTTAGATTGTGGGATTTATTACCAAGAGGTTTATATTAACTTTGATTGTCTTAATTCTGATAAACCATTCTGTTCAACACTATTAGTTTGACACACTTCTCCAACTAAGTGTATTTCATCAAAATAACTGCAAATAGTAGAAATTTGTAGCTGTCGCATTACTGTTTGTCTTTAACGTTTCAAACCACGTGGTGGCGTGTTTGACAAAAGCAAGCACAGTTTTGAAGTGCAGTGACTATAATAGTAGGGGGGAGAAGATGAGTCAGTAGGCATTATAATGCTTAACTTGGATTTAAAATCTGGAACAACGTTATGTTCTGAAGTATTTGAACTAGTTTCTCTTCTGCACAGACTGATCATGAAGGCTTTGCAGGTGTAAGTCCTTCCCCAGAATACTGAGGAACGTTTTGGTGGTTTATCCTGGCATGAAGTCAGGACACAACCAGCATGGACTTAGAGACTTGGGCATTGAGGAGAACTCCCAAATCCTGAGTTTGTATAAGCGTTAGAAGGGGAAACAACGTCTTTAGCTTAATCTTACAGTCAGAGGTGGAGTATAACAGAGTAAATAATTACTAAGTGAATTCTTTATTTTCACTACATGAACAAAATATCTCTTTTCTAAGAGACAGCAGGGGTAAAGAGTGCTATTTTAGATGCAAATAATAAAACGGAAATGTTCAGAGATGAACTTATTGAATTCATATTAAAAAATTTATCTTTCAATGCAAACTATGGAAGTCTTTATTATGCATATTCAAGTTCAAAGACTAGAGTTACAGTCCTTTTAAAGGAAGAGACTGTAAAGAAAAGAACTTTTAAATTAGGTAAATAGTTCCTGGCATTTTACTTCAGAAGTAGTCATTTTCAGTACATGACTGTTTTGTCAACTGGTACTTCAAGCAGTAGTCTGAATTTCTTTGAAATTAACACAGAAAACTGGAATGTACATTAAATCATGCCTTTCAGATGGGTTTGTTTTTTTAAAAACAAGTTTACTTGAATGCTATGAAGAGAAAGCAAAGAATTTATATCAATATAGCTGTATGATAGCATGCAAATGTTTAACTCTTATAAAGTTCAGTAGTGATAAAGAGTCAGCGGATGTCAGCAGGGTTATGAAATAGACAGCACAATTTGTAACTATTCCTTTGTGCTTGTAGAGCGAGATAATTCGAGATAATCCTGGCATCCTGGACTGTGTGAAAGAAGGAATCGGCAGAGTTGTAGGCATGGGAGTACCCCATAGCAAGCGTCTCCTTCCTCTGATGGTCTTGACTTTTCCAACTGCTCTACATGGAGTCCTTCACTACATCATCAGTTCCATCATCCAGAAGCTTGTTTTATTTGTTCTGAAAAGGGATAATTCTCACAACCTTCCAACTGAGAGCTCCGCTTCTGTGCAGAGCATGCTGGACGCGTATTTTCCAGAACTTATTGCTAGCTTTGCTGCTAGCCTTTGTGCTGACGTCATGCTTTACCCACTGGAGACCGTTTTACACCGCCTTCATATTCAGGGGACACGCACAATAATTGACAACACAGACCTTGGCTATGAAGTGCTTCCGATCAATACTCAGTATGAGGGAATGAGAGACTGCATAAATACTATAAAACGGGAAGAAGGAATGCTAGGTTTTTATAAAGGATTTGGAGCTGTTATAGTACAGTATACCTTGCATGTGGCAGTTTTACAGCTTACCAAAATTATTTACGCAACACTGCTTCAAAATGTTTCTTAATCTGTTCAGGTGCGGGTTTAGCACAGTAGATGTGATTGACTTACTAACTTAATTATTGTTTAAAAAACTTGTTTTAAAAATGGGGATATATGTTCCTAAGTGTAATTAAAGTACTGTTTAAAATTGAATTGAATATATAATGTGCAGTCACACAGAAGGGAATCAGATTTCAAATGTGGTTGGAGTGAGGATTTACCTTTCCTCTTACCAGTTTAACTGGCTTAAGAAATGGATATGAATTCTTAATATTTGCTTTATAAACATCAGATCTGACATTTAATTTGAACTCTTAGCCAGTTCAAAGGAATTTATTTTCATAATTTTTAGAAACTTGCAAGTAGAATACTGATGGGTTTACTGGTCTTCTAAGAAATGTTTTCAACTTCACTGTTAATGTAGCCATGAGCAAAATAGAAACTGTAGAAGTAACTTAAGTAGACATAAATGTCATAATTTACATAGAAGACTTCTTTGCTGCAGTGTGACAGAAGATGATGAAGAAGAATCCTTTGCTTTGTACAAAAATAACAAAAACTCGTTTTTTTGGCAAAGTTGCATAGAATGCAAATTTGGCTGTCTTGCAGTTTGTTTGCAAGGCTTACAGTAACTAAAGGGTGCGAATAAAGCAAATTAGAAACTGATGTATGCATGTGTAAGTGCCATTTTTAGTTGACTCCACTCGTAACTTCAGGGTTTAGTTTTACTCTGCTGCTTTGTGTAAGAGTAGAATAATCTTACAAATGTATGTAATATCAGTGTTCATAGTGTATGGAAAGCTTAAAATAATTGGCTATATCTAGAGTTTCTCTTTTGTTAGATCAAAGATGTATTTACTTACTATTTAGCACTGATGTCCTTCATTTAAAGTCTCTGTTGGATTAAATACTTTGGAGCAAAATTTAGTCTTGTTTATGTGCAAGCAAACAACGGAAATGTACCATTTTTTCCCCTCTTCCCATAGCAAATCAAGACTTTCTGTCTGAAAATGAGTTCTGAGCAATCAAAATAACTTGGTCCTTGGTTTCATCAGTAAATATCATGAAAATTGGGGGGAATGATTTTTAACAAATAAAACAAGCACGTGTAGAATAGCTTTTAAATTATGAGAGGCTTCTACCTCTTTCACACTTTCATGTGGCAAGTCTTATATTTGTGAATACTGTAAATTGATGTGTGTATTAATCATTGTATAGTAGTTACCACATATGGAAAGTAGTCATGGCAAAATAATGAAAAGGTGTTGCTGTTCATAAATCCTGACTAAATCATTTGCAGGTCTGTTTTGCTATTATTAGTCTAACTTTCATGTATTTTAAATGCATACGTGTAGAAATGAAAAGTATAGTGAACTTGGGAACTGGGTTTATTTTCAAATACTGTTAATTGCAGATTTAGTGTATAGAATTGAAGCAATTAAATAAAATAAGAATTCACTGTAAATATTTTGAAGTAATTCACTGAAGAGGCTTGTAAAGGAATATTAGTTTGTGTGTTATTCTATAGACTTCAGAGTGGCTTTTTCCAGTTTCTCAACTTTCCTGAGTGCAAGAATATGTTGAATTAGACTACATGTAAGAATTTGAGTAAAATGTTAAATTCCTGGTTTATATTTTTAAAGTTTCTGTGAGTATGAAGAGATCCATATCAGAGAATCATCCGGATTGGAAAGAATCTTGGCAGGCTGTCTAGTCCAAATTCCTGCTCTAAGCAAGGACAACACTGTCTTCAGACCAGATTGTTTAGGCACTTTTCCAGTCAAGTTTTTAATTCCAACTTCTAATACACTAAACTGGCCTTTTCAAAGGTGTTAAACTCAACTGAAGCCAACTGTTCCATCACAGTTTCCTTGAAGCAGTGACTAAGTGCATGTTGGAGACCAACACTTGCAGGTGTATCAGTGAAATTTGGCAATAATGTTTTTCTAGGAATAAAATTTTAGAGAAGGCATACAAAATAGAGGACGTGCTTTTAATGTATTCTTTAAAAGGGAAGATAGTGAGTTCTCAGCACTAGACACTGTGCTAGAATATTAACTTGTGGCAAACACAGTTGCTTTCATTGCTGAGAGTTTACAGCTCTAGTCCATGCTGAAGTCTCAGATCTGTAACTTTAAGCAGGGTGAGAAAGAATGCTGTCAATTTATGGCAACTGTACTGTGGTGGAAAAGCCATTTGCTTTGGGCTATTCTTTTTTGGTTGTCTTCCCATCAGTTAGTATGAACATGTTTTGATTCTTCATGTATACTTGCATTACCTTCCAAAAGAAGTAATACTCTGCTTTCTCCAGAGTTGCTATTTTTTGCCATGCAAAAATGTAAATGAATGTGGGGTGAAAAAAACCTTTTTTAACCTTTTTAATCTTAAGTGTACTGTTAACCTATTTCTGGTTTTCATTTGGATCTTAAATCTAGGTACTCAATTTTTAACTCAAATGATCAATAGGTGGCTTTGGCAGGAGGTACCACTGAAAATTACAGAATACTGAATTTCTGTAGAAAGTAAGTTCTTAATTTTCTGGCATATGAAAAATTGTTAGGCACTCTAGTCTTCCTCATACAAACAATTACTTTTTTTATATATTGTTTTTCTGTCTCTTTTCCGTTTTTAAAGAAAAGAGCTGATTTCAAGAAGGTACTGAAGAAAGACAGACTTGGTGTAATGTTCCCACCCCGTGAAGAATTACTTGTCTTCTTACCCATGCGTCTTAGAAGGAAAGCCTTGATGTGTGATAACTGAGAATAGACCAGGAAGGAAACTTTGAGATATGAGGCCTGCTGGAAGCCATTGCAGTTATCTGCCTGTGTTGCTTCACAGACTGTCTTACAGATCAGACTTGACTTTTGGTGTTAGAAGAGAGCTTTTTAGATATAGCATTGGTGTGAGTACAGATTTACTGTACAGATCTACTTTGGGGCATACATGAGTTCATCTAGCTCTGGGTCCTGTCTGTAAAATTGAGATTTGCAGATTTATGGAGAATTCACAAGACTCAATATCATATTATGTGCTTTTCTTAGCTCTTCTGAATTTAGCAGCAAATTCAAAGCAAATGTAAGCTAATGTCCTTGCTGCTTGTTCTGAGACAGTCATTCAACTGGATATGCGTCTTCAGCTACAAATGTAATCAGTCCACATGATGTAAATGAAGCCTGTCTCTGCATTAATATACAAGTTCTTGTTGTGCTCTAAGGTGGGTGTGGTTTTTGTATGAATCGGGGCTAGCAGTGGTCACTTTCAAACCATTGTCCCATGCAATGATATTTGAGGAGACAAGGTCACACAGTACATTTTTCGACTAAATGGTTGTTACTAATAGATTTTAGAGTAGGATTATAATGGCAGCATTCCTTTACCTGTATGGGAAGAGAGGTAGTAATAGACTATTTGTCTAGTTTTGTTTTAGAAGATGTAATATATATCTCCAGAGGGGGTAGAAGGCGGTCAGGTCTTTATTTATCAAGAACTCTCGACATCTATGTTTTAAAAGCAAACTGATTTTAAGGAGTTGGATTTTTTTTTTTTAAGGGAATAGAGATAAACCAGTCTTTACCTTCAGCACTCCAGTGTCTCCACAGACATTCTGACAAATTGTGAACAAAATTTGAGGTTGGGAAAGCAGCAATACTGAAAATGGACTGTAGAAATTGCCCCAAAATGCAGATAAACAAAAGTTGACAATATTCTCAATAGCAACAAATTAATATGATAAAGCAGAAATGTCCAAATGGTAGTATTTATGGAGGGTATCATTTGGTAGTCTATTTCTGTCTTTATCTTTCAAAAGGTGTTTTTAAAGGTAAGTTAGTCATAAAATGTTGTAAGCCCAACATAACCCATTTTTCCCCTGATACTTGGAAACTAACTCAGCTAAAAACCCCAGTTGTTCTTTCAGCTTTATCAACAGGAAAAAAAAAAAAATCTACACCTTCCCTTCAAATCAAGGTACCCTTTCAATGCGTGTAAATACCATCATACCTCAGTCCAACACTGCAGTTGCCTTTTTTTTTTTTTTTTTTTTTTTTTTGTTATTCAAACTGCTAATGAGTTGGCTGCAGTACACACTGCCTGTGGCAGCTTGATCTGGGTGAGATACTGTGTCACTTTTCTCTTGTTTTCAGAGTGTAGGGACAGAATATGACTTGTGCCCACCAAAGTAATAAAGTCAGAAGGGATGATTTAGCTGTTACCTGAAATTCTGTGTCTTGTTCTTGTTTCACAGCCTTAAGCTTGACACTAAGGCAAGTCCAAAACAAAAGGACTTGTTAGACACTGCTTGACTCTGTTCTGCATAGGCAGTTCATGTCTTTGCCTAAAATGAATTTTTAGGGACAACAGACTTATAGATTTGTGTTTTGAGTCTTGGTTTTAGGATACTTCCAGAAAAGAAAAACAGTAGATTTACTTTAGTGCAATGAGTGTAACTCACTGAAGTTTTTGATCCCTGCCTGAAATGGAATTCTGAATCTGTGTATAATATTTGAGCCTTCAAGTACATTATATAGGAAGAAGCACAAATATGCTTTGATTCCCAGATTCTATCAGCTCTATTCACTACCATTCAAAATGGGTGTGACACCTTTGATGTCCGTACAGACCACGGATGTGTTTTATGGTCTCTACAGGTACAGTTATCACTCTAAACCTGTTGAAAAATACAAGCACAGGCAGGACTTTTGGAGACTCTTACCAATGGCCTAACTTTATATATGCAAAATGAGGCAGAAGAAAACAAACTAAGGCAATGGGAGAGATGATTCTTGAAACTATGTGCTTACCAATGTGAGCACCTTGACAAGGAGGTACCTGTAATTTTAACAGCTATTTGAGCACAGTGGAGGGAAAGAGACAACTTCTCATGTAGCTGCATGTGTTTCAGGAGCTTAAAATGCCCACAGTGTTTTCTTTCAAGGGTAGGGGTATTTTTCTTTCCATTACAAGCAAAAAAACTACCAAAAAGGCTGCTGTGGTGCAGGTTACTGTTGCATAACCATTCTGACTTTGAAATGTACTACATTACATTCACTTTGGCTAATATATTTTCTTTTAATACTCATTGTCTTTATAAAGCCTCTGTTTACCAAGCAAATGTGTCTTTGGCCAGTTAATTTCATTGATGTGCCAAAATAATGTATCCTATAGAAACTCACTTAATGTGTTTTTCCCTCTAAAACTTTTGTGCCTGATAAATGCTCTATAATAATGGAGTTTCCTCAGCATAATGCTCTTCAATCTTCCTAAATAGACTGCTGTTAAAATTTTTTTCCAATTACTCCAGAAAAGGGAAGATAATTGAGTATTTAAATACAGTTTCAACATTTTTCTCAAGGGGAATGCTAAACAGACATTTTAGGTCACTAAGAAAATACGCTGCTGCCATGTAAAAAGTTAAAAATTTTTGAACTTCCTAAAACAATCTATGTGAGCTGGTTCTATTAATAAATACAGTATTAGGAAAACCTTACAGAGTGCGGTGTAAAAAGTTGGTCTTAGGGGCTAATGGGGGAGCTCTGTAACTGACACTGCTTGGGAAACTAATGCTTCCACTTCCATAGTAGGGTAGCTATAAGCATTGCAGTCCTCTCATACCTGGAGGCAAAAGGAGATACAAAGCATGATGATTCTGCTCTGATGTATGTATTCCTCTTCCTATAGCTGCAAATTTTCAGTCATTTATCATGTTTTTTTTCCCCTTCTATCAAATAAAATGTCAATAGCTACTTCTCAAATCTTCAAACTGTGCAGATCGTAAAAAGTTACCAGGTCAGGATTATTCCATGTTTAATAAGCATTAGCAGAATTATATTGGGAGTGTTGGAGGGGTTTCCATATAATGCTGCAGAGCTGTGTGATGTGGAGAATGAGGTAGGATGTGGTACCACTCATCTCCCAGTGAGGCAGAACTACCAAAGGAATGAGAATATACCTTTTCTAGAGTTTACAAACCCTACATTTCCTCCCTTGGTCCTTCCTGCACACTCTCTGTAGCCAGGCATTTGGGGCCTGTGTTTTCCATATAGCATGCATGCAGTTGCAGTGATGTGATGCCTGTTCTTTTCCACAGGAGTCACCTTTGTTTCTTTACTCCATGAAAATGTACAGGATGGCTTGGTGTAATTTTGTCAGCAAAAATTCAACAGGTTGAATTTCTAGGGAAAAAATTGAAGCTTAAATTTTGATCTTTAAGATCCCAGGAAAATGTCTGTATAGAAAGCCTCAGATTTATCACACTACTCCTGACTGACTTTCTTCTGTTAGGGGGAGTATTTTCTATTTGACAGGACACTTTCTGCAAAGTAATTTCTCCTGGGTTTTTTTAGGGTTCCTCATTTATGTTCTGCCTGGCTTCATGCATCATTTCTGTGCCTCTTCATGTAATAGCTTGTCTACCCTATCTTACGTTGTTTCACTTCTCATCTGTCTTTTCTTTCTCCTTGGTTTTTATATCTGCCTTTTCTGTCT